TGAGAAAGAGAGCATAGCACAGGTAAGCTTTTTGACTCTGAACCTGTTGGTAATGAGTTTACATTTACATGTATTCAATACTGATCAGGGGGAGTATTTTATAGTTTAAGACCTTTTGATTCCACTACAATAGTTATTTGGGAGGAGATTCATTTACCATTAATATTGCTATCCTATTTAGCTAGCATTTTGTGGGACACTTAACTAGCATCTCAAGCCTTTTGCCACTTTGCTGCTCAATGTGTAGTACACAGAAAACCACTGACTTAAAGCTGGCTACCATAATTACAAGTAATTAACCATCCAACACAAACCTCTGGAGACAACCAATAACTGCTTCCAACGCAAATGGGAAACTCTTGATTTAGCCATCTAAGTTGGCCTCTGAAAGGGCAAATATGATCAGTTAATACATAAATTATAACAGCAAATCATTATCTAGTTTACGAGTTGGTCTAAAAATTTTTAATAGAAGAATACAATAGTTAGGAGCCAATAAATGAAACAGCACAAACATTTATGCATTGGAAGGAACTGTGCTTTGTGCAAGACTGTATCTACATTCCTCAATTACCAAAAAAAAGATTAAAACCTGAGCTACAGTTTAAAACTTAAATTATTTAAATGAAGATCACCATGCAATAGATGCACCTTCTTATCATCTTGAACTAAAAGCCCTTTTCTTTGACAGACATTTTTTAAGTCATTTACAATCGGTTCACTTACACTTCCCATCTATCTTGAATCATATTTATTTTTCCTAACAAATTAAGTTGGTGGAGCTGCTAAAGTATTTGATACAGTTATTGTCCTCACATGCAATCAAACACTTTTGAAGGATAGAGTCGAAAAACACCAAGCATGTCACAGGACATTTACAGACTCATGCAGGGAAACCATAGTAACAATAATGGTAAAATGAAGGAGTTCTGGAAACAAATTGAATGAGTAGCAAATGTTTTTGCTATGTTTAAGTTGTAGAAAGAACAGTTCAACTCAGAACTATGCCTGTACTTTGTCCAGTATAAGAGCAAAACCCCACAGTTTTATCATGGAACACTTGCTTAAATTATTCTGAAAGAAGTATTTGGATTACAAAGACACAGATAATGCAGATTGCATGTTGTTCTCATACAGTGTATGTGTGCTGAGCAGTCTTCTCAGAAAATTGTCTAGGTTTCAAATACACATAAGCCATGAATGGAAGGCACGACAGTCATTGGCTTTTCAAAAGACATTCTTTTAACTTTCACCATAGTAGTTTCTTACAAGCTTTGCTAGCTATGAATTCAGCTGCTGACGTGTGCATAAGTTTAACATCTCAGTAAAAGTGAAATTTGAAACCTAAAATAACTAAACCACAACACATTTCCACTGTACAACCAAGAACCATAGAAAAGAATAGAATAAAGCATCCACACGCCAGGAATCAACAACACGCAGACGAGCAAAATTCGGACATGCAGGCTTACATAAGTTTCAAAGTGGTAGAACTGAACAAGCACGAATCATTTGTTGAAAAACTAGGACAGCATCCTTCCGTGTAGATGCTTACAACTCATCGATGGTGAAGCAGACTTCCCAAGTCAATGTACCTACTTAATCCATACTTGTTCCAAGGACGCTTTAACTAGATGTTAGATCTTACCCACAGCTGCAAGGAAGAAGTTAAGGTAACCAGCTGTGCAAAATCATCGACACAACATCGCTGGTCGTCTAAAGGAGTTTTGTAACTCTACTCGTCATTTCCTCAGGTTACTCCACGATTGAAGGTTTTGGTACAGAATTGCAGAGAGTGGGGTTCTGACGAGAGAATGGTTTTTAGAAAGAGCGCGAACATGACAAACATGGCCAACATGTGAACTTACAACAACTGCTCGATCTCACGAGGAGTCTGGAGCCGAATGCAGACATCAGTTGCGAAAGTAACGCATTTCATAATTTCAAGCACTGACAAGAATGTTGGCTATTGGCAACTTTAGATGTCGCCGATGCAGGACGTTTTTATTTTATTTTTCCAAAAGACAGAAGTAAGCTCTTCGAAACCATGGGACACACACACCCACACACCCACAAGAAAAACTTTGTACTTGGAGACGATTTGTAAAATGTCGGTCATGCGATTGATAGCTTTTTTTCAGAGGAAGAATATATAAATTTCGATGAAAGTTGAATTTCCCTTGGAATCCTATTTTATGTTAGTTTCATAGTAAAGAGTCGTCATTCGTGGGAAATGATATGAGATCGATGATTTTCTATTGTTTTGATACTGCGGCCGTCACGCAAACCGATAATAATGTAATTTATGTAATTAATTTTTTCCTCTCCTCTCCATCTGAGGGGATGTAGCTCAGTGGTAGAGCGCGCGCTTTGCATGCGCGAGGTCCGGGGTTCGAAACCCCGCATCTCCACTTTTCGTTCTTCTTTATTTCCAGGTGAGTTAAGTTTTAATTTTTTTTCGTTGCTTATCTTCTTTTTTCATTTTTTTTCTTTTCTATTTTCAACCCAAATGAAATCGGTAGCCTGGATGAATTTAAGTTCGATTATGACCTTCGTCTACAGGGATAGTAATACAAATGAAAAAATTACGCGCATCAGATTGGCTGAAAACGAGTGCTTTCTCTTGTATTAAGAGTGCAAATTGTAAAAAGCGCGCGCACGCTTTCAAAATTTCGTCTCTCTTGACTGTCTTTGATGTTCGTGTATTTTATAACCAAGTAAGAACATAATTTCTCTGCCAATTTGGTGCGGTAAGCACTTGTTAGACTCGTTAGTTGTTTAAAGACTAAAATTGCACTTGCCCTACAGGCTCGTGCAATTTTGTTGTCTTCGAAAAATCTACTCGTGCATATTAACACCAAATTGCACTCGAAATCATGTTATTGCCTTGACAAATCGTCTGGTACAGGAAAATTTCCTATTAGACCAAAAAGTTAACACACTTTGATAAGGATGCCTTGTCATCAGTGACATTTCTTGGCGACACAAACTGATATGATAGATGAGTCTTATTTATGCTATGTACTTGAACTGAAAATAAAAAATGCATAATTTTTCTAAAAGACTCAGCCGAGTACGTATAAAGTCTTCCAATTTCTGTCATGTTTCCCTCCCTCGCGCAAAGTCGGCTCTGTTTTAAGAGAAAATCACAGATATTTGATGAATTCGATAACCTTTCGATCACTTCGTTATGGCATTTTCATCGTGTTTTATCATAAAAATCAACCGAATGCATAATGATGTGGTGTTTCACACAAATGAAACAGTTATTAAAAGGCCCGCTTCAAGAGGGTAGCAGTTAAAATAATTACTTCTCAAAGACTTTTCATTTCGCATAAGATACATCGCTCACTCAGGCAACGTATCCGATTAATGTACGCAAAAGGATGTCCTAGGAAGCATGTCACACTTTATAACAGTCATTTCAATATTCAAGGCGGCCAGGCCTATCTCAAAGAGCACTTTGAATGAAAAATAGAGTATTTTCTTCACTTTAGTGTAGGAACATGAATTATTCTGCTTAAATTATCAAAGAAAAAAATTTGATTTATCATTGTGGGCCGACTACTTAAATGTTCGAAATTGTATAACCACGGATGGATGTCAATTTTTTCCATTGTCTTTGAGAGGAGAACAATATTACACTGATTAATCATGCAGCTCTTTCTCCGAAAAAAAAAAACTGACCGTCAGGCTACAATGCTACAAACGTTAATAGAAGAAATTACCTCAGCAAATGAATTACAAATGCATCACCTCGTAAACCGCTGCTATAATTCCTTTGAAAAAGCTGTCAACGGTGCGCAATTTGATGTTCAAAAAAACGATGTGCAATTTATACGTCGCCGCACCATGGGTATTTCCGTTTTTCATCACCAAAAATTGTAGTCTTGCAACATTTAGTAGTATCTGAATTGCAGAAAAGATGAATCCAAAACCAACTAACACCCATTACTTGAAGTTAATTGAATGCACAACTCCGTAATAGTCCGGGTTGTCAAGGGTACAGGTCTGGCGAAGAAAAATGTTTTGTTTAGTTTACTGGTGTGAATTGTTTTAAGAATAAGTAGGTGAATTTTTAATGTAAGTGTTTCAGTCATACTGCGTAAATTGCGAAGGGGTTCTGTAGTCTCCTGTGGCTAAGTGCTGTAGGCCATACAATTCATGAAAACTCCACCTCGGATAGTTATCGAGAATAACGGAGTCTATACTGCCTCAGTTAGAAATACGATCTTTCATGTTACGGGTAGAGCGCATTTCGATTGAGTGTCGTAAAACTGAAACCCGCAAAGTAATAACAACAGCCAGATAAAAGACGGAAAAAAACCTTTAGAGCCAACAAGAACCTAAGGTGAAAACAAGCAAAATTCCCCAAGCGCGGGAAAACGTGGCTGACCATGTAGCGGTTGGTTTTTAGTTTTTAATCTGATTGGTTGACAAAGTAGCACACGTTTTCGGGACCAATCACGTAACGACTTAGACAAAACCGCCACCAACAGAGCATAAATTAGCATGTAATATGATCAAAATATCCAACATTCTAATCTGTTTTTGTAGAATTCCTTAACGCTCTATCGCCAATGCTACAATTTTATTGGCTATGTCGCTCTTGATAGAAAACTAGTAGACGGAGTAGACAGATGTTGTGAGGTGGTTAAGTAAATATAAAACATGAGCCTGTCTTGTTGGTAAGTTTTAAACGACTAGATAGATTTAAACCAAAGTAACTGGATTCTTTGTACTCGATCTTTGCGCGTAATGATGAAATCAAGCGTCGCCCTCATTAGCTATCACGTGACAGAAATCTCTGGCTTATAATTTAATCTAATTAAC